GACGGCACGGATCTCGCGCCCGGGTCCCAATCTCGCGCGGCGGGGGCGGGGCCGGGGCGAGCCCAGGAAGTCACGTGGGTTGTCCCGTGGCGCCGCGGGGGTCGAGCAGGAAGCGGCGGGTGGGCTGCGGCCGCAGATGTGCACTTGCCTGGCTGTGCACCTGCCCGGCTTCGAGCCTGCGCCATGGCAGCTGCAGTGATGGTGCGCTCGGGGGGGGGGGGGGGGCGCGGGGGGGGGGGGGCGCGCGGGTAGGCAGGCCCCGGGGGCGCATGCAGGCGCTGGTCGGCCAGGTGTGGGCGCCGACGGCACCCGCGTGCTGATCGCGGACAGGTGAAGAAGCCGGAGCAGCCACTCACGCTCAGCGCCCTCCTTCCCCCATTAACCCTTTCTCGGGTCCCCGGTCACCTCCTCAGCTAAATCAGGGATCGGCCCGGGTCAGCAGCCTCCTTCCAGAAACCTCCCGCCTGTGCTTTCTGCTGAGCTTCTTCATCCCGACAAAACCTGCTCGTGTTCTCCGGGCTCCTCCTGCTCTCCCTATCCCCCCAACCCCGCCCCGGGAGTAACCTTGACAAGCCTCCCACGATTCCTATGGGGAGGTCTAAAATCTCTTCTCTTTAAATACATCACTGGGTCCTTCATTCCGTAAGTGTTAACTGAGCACCTACTACAAGCTCTATGTGGAGCGCTGGGGTACATAGGCCGTCCTGCACTGTGGAGCTCCCCCTGTAGGGGGGACGCCTACACAGCCTGCGCAGTGGCTCGGCTGGATCAGCATTCACTGAGTACCCGCTGTGCACCAAGAACCAGGCAGGCAGGGTGACAGAATGCGCCAGATGCTGCCCCGTGGCCTGGTGGGGAGAAAGACGGGTAAACAGGGCACCTTGGATCAGGCGGAGACAGAGCCAGGAGAGGCGCCAGCCTGGCCTCTGGAAGGCCTCTGAGGCCTGTCCCCGCACTGAGGCTCAGGATGGGCAGACGCTCGCCAGCTAGGACCCAGAGCCCGGGCACAGAGGCAGCTGCCTGCCCACTGGAAGGGAGCTCCCGGTGGCTGGGCCACACTGGTGTCCACTGCTGAGCACCGTGGTGGGAAGACAGCTCAGGGTGTGGGAGGAGCATGGTCTAATAGGTAGAGAGCAAACTAGTGAGTTAGAAGCGGTTCTGGGTTCCTGGAACAGCTAAGCCTCCCAGAAGTTAAAGAGCTTGCCTCAGCCGCGCAGCTAATCCGTGGCCAGCTGGAGGACTTTAACCAGCTCCTGGTGCCCGGCAGCCTGCCCTGTCCTCGGTGGGCACCCCTCAGCTCTGACCCTGTGTGACTTCCCCGAGGGGCCCAGCAGCCCCCAACCTCCAGATGCTAGTCTACAGCCAGTCGGCCCCTCCCTGCTTCTCCAGGAGTCGCACTTGCAGTGTCTTAACTCCACTTTGCCAAGGGCATCCTCTGCCTCAGCAGTGAACTGTCGTCTGCCCCAAAGACAGTGCCAGGTGGTCTGGGGCCCAGCCGTCTCACTGCTGTGGGAGCAGGACATGGATGCGCCCTGCCCGGTGGTTGATGCAACAGTGGGGACTGGGTTGCTCTGCAGCGCTGTCCCAACTCAGTTGGTGTTGGCCTTGACAATGAGGTGATGCGGCTGCAAAAGCACCCCGTGCTGCTCAGGCGAGGAGAGGCGCCTCGCCCGGCAACCAGGAGGGCAGCTCCCAGCCCAGGAGGGCCCAGCAGGCTGGGGCAGTGCTGGGTGAAAATGTGGGGCCTTGTTCAAAAAGCAGGAAGAGGCTTTTTCCTTCCTTCCACTCTCTCTCTCTGGACCTGTCATGGTGTTTATTATTTGCTAGTTAAAGTCATGCTCCCTTGGGCAGAGGGTGCTCACAGGGGGAGCACAGACCCTCATAGACATCCTGAGCCCATCCCTGTGACTCGGTGCTCCTCCATGTTCACACCCAGACCCCTGCTGGGGTGAGGGGTGGCCGAGGTCTCTGGGTGGCCAAGGTCACTGGGTGGGGGATGGGGGAGTGAGCCACCAAGAATCGGTCCTAGGGGAAGAGGTACAGGGAGGCCCCAAACCCCTGACACATGCCCCATTGTCCCATCGGACATCACCTTAGAAAACACAGATTCGAAGACAAAAGTATTAAGACTGTTAAGATGGTGACTGCAGAACTTTAAACCCCAAGCGCCAGCTAGCCCATCTGAGGGTATGGAATGCCATGAGGCTGATCCTGCGTCACGGGGCCCCAGGATGCCACAAGGACTCTCCACCAGAGGTTCACAAAGAGGGGGGACCACAGGAGCCAATGTGGCTAGGAAACGGTGGGGGGGGTCAGCCCCAAGAGGAGGGGCGGAGAGGGGCCAACAGCAAGAGCTGCAGGTGGCCCTGAAAGGGAGGGGCCTCGATGGCTGGGCCAGGTGCCCGGGGAGGCAGGCAGGTGGGACAGGAATGAGGGTGAGCAGGGGCAGCCCCGGAGAGAGCACTGGCACCTGGAGGGGCCTGGGGGCCAGTGAGGAGAGTGGTGCTGGGCATCACAGCCCTCGAAGACAAAGGGAGCACCTGGGGCCTGGAGCGACTGTCCTGGGACTGGGAAGTCTCGCCTGGCTGTCCCCATTAGGCACTGGCCTGCTCCTTTTCATGCCATCATCTTGCCCCATTCTGTAGAGTGACATATCCTGCTGTTCTTTTGGGGAGACCCCCTCGGTCCCTGTGGTTTGAGGGCGGGCCTCACCTGGCCTGATCAGAGCCTGTGAGCCCCAGGCCAGACGGCAGCTGGGTCTCTGGGGATGAGATGCTGCTGTGAGCGCAGGAGCTGTCAGGGGCCACCTGGGCCTGGAAATGATGCAGCTGGAGGGCAGACCAGCAAGGGAGGAGCCTGAGGCCCGGCATAGCCAAAGCAGTCCCCTCCGTGCTTCTGGTCCCATGAAGCAAGACATTTCCTCTTTGCTGCAGCTCTGAGTTTCTGTCATCTGCAGCTGAGAGTCCTGCCACCATGACGATGCACGACATGCAAACCTCAGGCCCAAACTGCAGACCCACAAGGGAGGGCGTCGGGGGCCCAAGGTGTGCTTGTAAGCCCAGCACTGCTCAGCTAGCACCTCTTGGCTGGTTCCAGGGTCCCCATGACCTGCCCCATACAGCCCTGCACCTTTGTCCACCTCCAGTCCCCACAAGGACCAACACACACATGTTCCCCACGCACCTCCACCATGCTGTTCCCTCTGCCCAGGACACCCTTCCCCACTCTCTGCCCGGCATACTCAGCTCCTCTCCCAAGCCTCCCTTGAAGCCCCTGGTGGTCTGTCCCTCCCTCCGGTGGCTCCTCTGAGCCTCATGTTCACTCTGAGGGCACTGGGGGCCCAGCCCGGGCATCACTTCTCTGCAGGACCCACGCTCAACCCATGCATGAGACCCCTACCCCAAACAGTGCCTCCTTATGGGCTTGAAAATCCAGAGTGTGAGGGGGAGACAGAAGTACAGAGGTTTGAACCCCTATAATCTGCTCACCCCTCAAACTCTGCTTGCACGGAGTTGGGAAATGCAGTATCGGTTTGCCCTTGCAGCCGATTAGTTCCGATTTCCCTGGAACCCCGCATCGTGGTTGGTGACCTCCCTGATCTAGCCCTTCCTTAAGCTGAACCCAACAATCCCCTGGATTCCTAGCTAAGATCTAGGGCCAGAGATGGGACCTCTCAAGTTTCCAGATGATGCACCGACAGGCAGGGCCGGCCTGTGGATGTCCAGCTGGTGGATGTTCCAGGCTCAGCAGGGCTGTGGGACCAGAAGGCTGCTGCTCACCCTCCCTCCTTCCCCTTCAAGCCCTACATCATGCCTTGGGTCCATCCCTCAGCCTCCTGGCTCAGCTTGGAGGGGCGCCTGGGCTTGGGGAAGGGGCAGGAAGGAGCTAGCCTCAGCTGTGCTGAATCGTCTTCAAGGAGAAGCCAATTGTCCCGCCCAGGCCTAGGGCCACTCATGCCAGGAAATAATCTGATTTAACAAGCCCAAGGAGATGCAGGCTGGGCCGCCAAGGCAGCCCTGAAGCCGTGGTCCAGACCACTGCGCTCAGCCCACAGCTAGGTTAAGGTCCAGCCTGTCCAGCCTCAGCGGGTGGGGAAAGGCCCACGGTAGGGCCCACGCGCCCTCTGCTGGCCTCTCGTGGCTCTGCCCGCAGCTCTCTCCAGCCCCCTGGCCAGCCAGAGTCCACATGCCCAGCGGGCCCTGGGGTCCACAGGCTCCAAGGCCCCCGGCGGGGGTGCCCAAAGCAATGGCCCTGACGGGGCGTGCCCCACCACAGTGGTAGGAGGGAGCTCTCAGTTTGGTTCTGAATCTTGCAGGGAGGGTGGGGATCTGGTCTGGCTCCTGGGTGGTTGGTCTTCAGG